AGGGAGAAGCAGGCTTCCTGCCTGGGATGACGACCTGAGCCAGAGGCAGATGCTTAACCGACTGAGTCACCCAGGAGTCCCTGTTTTATTTTATTTTGTTTTGCTTTATTTTATTTATTTACAAGAGAGACACAGAGAGAGAGAATGTTTGTGGGCCGGGAGTGGGGGGCCAGCAGAGGAAGAGAGAGGCTTCACACTCAGAGTAGAGCTCTAGAGGGGTTTTGAAATCACCAGCCTGAGATATGACCTTGAGATCACCACCTGGAGCCAAAATCAAGAGGGCGCTCAACCCACTGAGCCCCCCAGGCGCCCCCAGAGAATTTCTAAATTATCATCCAGCTGAGTGGTTTCTCATGTCTCTCCTAAACTGCCGTGGACCCCCAGGGGTACCCACACTCCAGCTGGAGAGGCATAGCCCCAGGCTGAGGGCCCCTCCTCCCCTGTGCCCCCAGCTCAGCCCCTCCAGGAGGGGCCCATAAGGCGCTCGGGTTCCCCACCCCTTGCCTCCACCTCCTCTGCAGCACAAGGTCTCTCCCCCACCCCCACCCCCGCCCAGGAACTACACTCTGTATGTGCTGGACAACCAGAACCTACAACAGCTGGGGTCCTGGGTGGCTGCGGGGCTCACCATTCCCGTGGGCAAGATCTACTTCGCCTTCAACCCTCGCCTCTGCTTGGAGCACATCTACCGCCTGGAGGAGGTGACCGGCACTCGGGGACGGCAAAACAAGGCCGAGATCAATCCCCGCACCAACGGAGACCGCGCCGCCTGTGAGGCCCGACACCGCAACCCCAGAGCGAAGGACCCCCAGAAACCCCTGACGCGCGCACGCGCACTGAAACACACCAGACATGGCCCCGGGGGGAGGGCGCGTTTGCCCCGGACGACGCGATAGGTTCTCTTCGGGGCCGCGCTGCGGGTGGCCTCCGCCTGGTCGGGGTGGGAGCTCGGGTGGAGACAGACGCGGCTGACCGCAGGTGTTGGCCCCTCGCCCCCCAGGCCAGACTCGCACCCTGCGCTTCGTGTCCAACGTGACGCAGGCCGACAGCATCTTGCTGCGCTGGGAGCGCTACGAGCCGCTGGAGGCTCGGGACCTGCTCAGCTTCATCGTGTACTACAAGGAGTCGTGAGTGCCGGGGGTGGGGCTAGAGGGGCGGGGCCAGAGTCCCCCCCCCCACCGTGGGCAGGGTCAGACCCGGTCCCGCCCATCTGTTCCCAAACGCAGCCGGGTGAGGGGTGAGGACAGAGCGCAGGGGTGCAGAGAGGCAAGGAGCCAGAACCCCTAAGACTCACTCCCTTGTAGGGCCCACGCCTGGCTCTCCCTTCACCTTAGTCACCCCTCCGTGCCTCAGTTTCACCTCAGCAGTGAATTGGAGAGGACAGTCAGGACTTCTGAGAGACCAGGAGAGGCACCCCGCTGGGAAGGCTCGGATAATTAAACTTCAATTCACTATGTTAATGTTCTGTGCTGACCACAGGCTCCTGCCCCAGCAGCGGTTTGGGGAGCACCCACTAATTTGGCCGGTTTTATGTGGAGCTCTGCCAGCATTTCATTAAAACCTAAGGAAGGAAGGGAGGCGGGACAGCCAAGGACAGGCTGGTTTTGCTTTGGAGAGAGCATACTGACCATAGTAGGAGGGACAGTGGTTAGACCACAGGAAGGATCTCTCCAAAAGCATGGCTAGGAATCAAAACGAGAATTCTTAGAGGAGAGAAGTGGGTTCGGGATGGCAGGCCGGGAGGGCAGCCTGGGGAGTGTTTCCACGTCTACAGTCGACAGAAGATGGGAGCCACCTGGCTTGGAAGCCTTCCTGTGGATTCAGATAGGGAGGTCTTAGTTTCTCACTAGCACATGGCCTGGTGTGGGAGGAAGGAGGATGTGTCAGTGGCGCGAGGCCGGCTCAGATGGCCAAGGCTCTCCTGGGCCTCACTGGGAGGTGAAGGTCTCCAGCATGGGGAGCTGGAGGGTTTGCTAAATACAGACTCCTGGGCCCCATCCCCACAGATTCCAAGTCAGTTAGTCATGGGGAGAGCCTGAGAATCCGCATTTCTAACAAGCTCCCAGGTAATCCTGGTCCAGGACCACACTTCGAGGAATACTAAAGTGGGCTGGCCGTGTGCACAGCACCCCCTGCCTGGCTCGTGTGGCTCACAGTCCACACGGCTGTACCCAGCCGCCTCTGGGCTCAGAAGGTAGAGAACCCTAAGTGTCCTTCAGGAAGCTCCCCTAGCATCATGGCCTCGAAGCCTGGCTGCGGCTTTGCTGGCTCAGACCTGCTATGGGTCCTGGCCCAGTCCCAGCTCTCAGCAGACCCACCCACTGGGTGCTCCCAAGGAGCGGGATGCCTTCACGCACACCGGAAGAATGACAGTGACCTTCTTATGGTGGTTCAGAGAGGACGGGGATGCTAGAAACTGGGCCGGGGCTGAGCCGCCCCTCAGCTCTAGGGATGCGGTGTTCAGCCCATTCCAGAATGCCACAGAGCACATAGGTCCAGACGCCTGCGGGACCCAGAGCTGGAACCTTCTGGATGTGGAGCTGCCCTTAAGCCGCACCCAGGAACCCGGGGTGGCTCTCGCACCCCTCAAGCCTTGGACACAGTATGCAGTGTTTGTACGGGCCATCACACTGACCACCGCTGAGGACAGCCCCCACCAAGGAGCCCAGAGCCCCATCGTCTACCTCCGAACCCTGCCGGCGGGTATGCGGAAGACTTTGAAGGGGGTGGGAGCTGGATACCTGAGCCCTGCTGGGACCGGGGGAACCCAGGCACTAGAAATAGGGAAGCTGGGTCTTTCAACACCAGGCCCCTAGAGACTGGGAAGCCAGATGTTTGAGTCCTGGAGAGAACGGAGGGCATCGGCCTAAGGTCCTAGGGACACTGTGGGTGGGAGAGGGCAGGGGGAATACTTGAGCCAATTCAAGGGCCTTCGAGGGCCGTGGGAAGGCCAGGATTCTACGTTCCAGGAAGGGGAGGTTCCTTGGGAGAATGCGAAGGGCTTGGACCCCAGAGAGGGGCCATTACCAGACAGTACCAGAAAGGGGGATCCGCGGCGCCTCAGTCGCACCCTATCTGCGTCCCCAGCGCCCACGGTGCCCCAGGACGTCATCTCCACGTCCAACTCCTCGTCCCACCTGCTGGTGCGCTGGAAGCCACCGACTCAGCGCAACGGGAACATCACCTACTACCTGGTGCTGTGGCAGCGTCTGGCGGAGGACGGCGACCTCTACCTCAACGACTACTGCCACCGCGGTGCGCAGGGCAGCGCAGGCCGGAGGGTCGGGGCGGCGGCGTCGGGGTGCTGTCCGTCTGACCGCGCCTCTTCCCCGCGCCGCGCCAGGCTTGCGGCTGCCCACCAGCCACAACGACCCGCGCTTCGACCGCGAAGACGAGGAGCCGGAAGCCGAGACGGAGCCGGGCTGCTGCCCCTGCCAGCACCCCGCTCCCGGGCAGGTCCTGCCGCCGCTGGAGGCGCAGGAGGCCTCCTTCCAGAAGAAGTTCGAAAACTTTCTGCACAACGCCATCACCATCCCCAAGTGCGTCCCGCGCCGGGGGCGGGGGCGGGGCGAGCCTGGAGGGCGGGGGCGGGGCGGGGCGGGGCCTAACGCGGCCCTCCCGGGTCTCCCCAGATCCCCGTGGAAGGTGACGTCCATCCATAAGAACCCTCACAGGTGAGCCGGGCGGGTCTGAGAGGTGGCGGTCCCGGGGCGCGGCCGCGGCTCTGACTCGCGTCCCCCCCACCAGGGACTCGGGGAGGCAGCGCCGGGCCGCCGGGGCCCTCCGGCTTGGGGGAAACACCTCGGATTTCGAGATCCAGGAGGACAAAGTGCCCCGGGAGCGCGCAGTGTTGAGTGGCCTGCGCCACTTCACGGAATATCGCATCGACATCCACGCCTGCAACCACGCGGCGCACACCGTGGGCTGCAGCGCCGCCACCTTCGTCTTCGCGCGCACCATGCCCCACAGTAGGTTCTCCCTCCGCCCCGCCCCTGACCCGCAGGACTCTACCCAGATAGTGCTCCAATGTTCGACCTCCCCACGACTCCAGTCCCCATAAGCCCTGAGCTTCCTGGACCCTCGAGATTAGCCCCCAGGCACTTGGACATGAAGCTGAGGGGGGGGGGCTGCCTGCTGCGCTCTCCCGCAGGAGAAGCCGATGGCATCCCAGGGAAGGTGGCCTGGGAGGCGGCCAGCAAAAGCAGTGTCCTCCTGCGCTGGCTGGAGCCACCGGACCCCAACGGACTCATCCTCAAATACGAAATCAAGTACCGCCGCTTGGGAGAGGTAGGTACCCGTGGGAACCCCCAAACCCGGACCCAGACGTCGTGTCCGCCCTCTTCCCAGCCAGCCGTTCTGCCCTGCCCTCAGGAGGCCACCGTGCTGTGTGTGTCCCGCCTGCGGTACGCCAAGTTCGGGGGTGTCCAACTGGCCCTGCTACCTCCTGGAAACTACTCTGCCAGAGTTCGGGCAACCTCGCTGGCAGGCAATGGCTCCTGGACAGAAAGCATCGCTTTCTACGTCCCTGGCCCAGGTAGAGGTGGCCTCGGTCCCAGACGTGCACCCCCACAGCCCCAGCTGGGTCCCCAGCCACGTCTCCTGTGGTAGAAACCACAGGAACGTGGTGGCCACTCCACCGGGTTCCTTCCCCTGTCCTCACTTCCCATGGTGAAAAGAGAAGTGTCCTCTACCCTCTGACTTCTCCATCTTTGACCCTACCATCTGCTGCCCTCTGACCACCAGAGGAGGAAGACTCCGGGGGGCTGCACGTCCTTCTCACTGTCACCCCTGTGGGGCTCATGCTGCTCATCATTCTTGCTGCCCTTGGTTTCTTCTACGGCAGGAAGAGGTGACGATGCCCAGTCCTACCGGTTCCCATCCCCCCTCTCCCAACCCCCCCCCCCCCCCCCCGCCAGCCCCCACCGCAAGGTCGGTCCCGGAAGGGTGGTATATGAGACAGGAAGAGAACATTCCTTAGAAGCAATAACTCATCCCCTGAGGGCAGCATGGAGGAGACCACCTTTCAGTCTGAGGGACCAAATTTCCCTGATGTTACCAGTGCAGGTCTTCCTTCCGGGGACTCCCTAGTCTGGGCGCACTGGGAGTGTTCATTTGGTCACCGTGTTCTCAGCCAAGAAAGCAGGGGAAGAGATAGGAGACCTCACCAAGCGCCCTGGTTGGTTGGTGCCAGATGCCCTGGGGCTGAACACAAGAGGGAAGTGGAGGCAGAATTTTGATTAGTTGGCTTTTAAGGATTACCGGAGGAGGCAGGAGCTGCCCTCCTCCTGTCCTCCCCGTCCACAGTCTGTCAGATCCCAGATCCCAGGCCTAGGACAAAGACCCGCTTGGAAAGTGTCTAGGGCTCCCCAGGGACAGCCTGGCCAGGGACGGGAGGAAGGGACTTCGCTCCTCCTTGCAGTATCCCTCCTTCTTGTTCTCTGACATTGCTCCTTCCTTCCTGAGGACCCTTCCAGCCTGACCCCCCCCACTCCCCCTTGCAGAAGCAGCACCCTGTATGCCTCTGTGAATCCGGAGTACTTCAGCGCCTCTGATAGTAGGTCCGGGAGTGGCGGGGCAGGTGTGTGGGAAAGGGAGGCAGGAGGAGAGGAGAGGCACGCTCCAGGAAACTTTCTTAGACAAGGCCGCCTCGGGACCTAAGCCTTTCTGAAGAGGAGAGAGGTGGGTGGGGGCGTGGCAGAGGCTGTGTTCCTGCCCCATGACTCCCACCTCCTCTCAGTGTACGTCCCTGATGAGTGGGAGGTGCCTCGGGAGCAGATCTCCATAATCCGGGAACTGGGCCAGGGCTCCTTTGGGATGGTATACGAGGGGCTGGCACAAGGGCTAGAGGCCGGAGAGGAGTCCACACCCGTGGCCCTGAAGACCGTCAATGAGCTGGCCAGTCCACGAGAACGCATCGAGTTCCTCAAGGAAGCCTCTGTCATGAAGGCATTCAAGTGTCACCATGTGGTAAGGAAGGATCGGGGACACTGCCAGGGTAGGGTCCATAATTACGGTGAAAGTCACATGATAAGAAGGATAGGGTCAAGGATGAGGTCAGGGTACCATCAAGGTCAGGGTTGGGACTGAGGTAAAAGTCATGGTTAGGGTTAGAGTCAAACCATGTCATGGTGGGGCCATGGCAGAATCTCGGCTAGGGCTGTGATCCGTCATCGATGGGGGTCAGTATTCAGCGTCTAGATCATTATTAGGATCATGATTGGGATCAAGGTCAGAATTGGGTGAATCATGAAGATTGGAATGACAGGTACGATCAAGGTCATGGGTTAGGGTCAGTGTCATTGGTAGATTAGAATTAGGGTTATGGTCACGGCTGGGTTTAGAGTCAAGGTGTCAAGGTCAGGTGGTGGTCACAGCAGGGCAACATGTTGACCAGGTGGGTAAAGGGTCAGGGTGGTGGGTGGACCTGCAACCAGGCTCTTTGTCCATCCCAGGTACGTCTCCTGGGTGTGGTGTCCCAGGGCCAGCCAACTCTGGTCATCATGGAGTTAATGACCCGGGGGGACCTCAAGAGCCATCTTCGATCTCTGCGGCCCGAGTCAGAGGTGGAGACCAGGAAGACCCTGGGCCACAGGGCTGGGGAGTTAAAGAAGACTTGGGCATAGTTGTGGGGGGATGGTTGGGCAGGAGCCCAACCTCTAGGTTCCTTCTTCATCAGCCCCCTGTCTTGGCCCTAGAACAACCCGGGGCTCCCACGGCCAGCGCTGGGAGATATGATCCAGATGGCTGGTGAGATTGCAGATGGCATGGCCTACCTCGCTGCCAACAAGTTTGTGCACCGCGATCTGGCGGCCCGGAACTGCATGGTGTCCCAGGACTTCACTGTCAAGATCGGGGGTACAGACGGTGCCGGGTGGGCATGGGGCAGCCTGAGGAATAGAGGAACTCTCCCTAAACTGGGCTGGGAGACTCAGGCCCACCCGACAGCCCTATCCCTCACAGCAGCCCCGTCCAAGGCCAGAGGTCCTGGGGCGGGATGATCTCTGAGGTTCTTTGAGCCCTCACATTCCAGAATTCTTGGAAGCTATGGAGGGGGAGAAGGCCAGGAGAGGTATCCCTGGGCCAGGGGCTGGCATGTGCTTCTGCTGCCCCCATACCTGTCCACCCTCACTTTCCAGACTTTGGGATGACTCGAGACGTGTACGAAACTGACTATTACCGCAAGGGCGGGAAGGGGCTGCTGCCCGTGCGCTGGATGGCCCCCGAGTCCCTCAAAGATGGAATCTTCACCACGCACTCGGATGTCTGGTGGGGGCTGGCTGGAGCAGAGGGCTTGGGGGATGTGGAGGTGGGGTCCGGGATGAGGCCCAGATGCGCTCAGCAGCGTGCAAGGTGCTGGCTCAAGCCCTTCTGCGTGTCCTCCAGGTCCTTCGGTGTGGTGCTCTGGGAGATCGTGACCTTGGCAGAACAGCCCTACCAGGGCTTATCCAACGAGCAGGTGCTCAAGTTTGTCATGGATGGTGGGGTCCTGGAGGAGCTAGAGAGCTGTCCCCTTCAGCTGTAAGTCACCCCCCACCCCGCCCCTTCCTCATCCCTGCGCTGTCCACCCACGCTGCCCCCTTGACTCTGGCCCGCCTCCTCTGATGCGCTCTTGTCCGCGGGTCCCCAGCTGAGTCTTCCCCACTACAGCCCTGCTTACTCTCCCGGGGTCCTCCCAGAGGCAGCCTCCCCCGGCCCCCTCTCATGCTGTCCCCGCCCCCCCCAGGCAGGAGCTGATGCGCCGCTGTTGGCAGCAGAACCCGCGCCTGCGACCCGCCTTCACCCACATCCTGGACAGCATCCGGAGCGAGCTGCGGCCCTCCTTCCGTCTCTTTTCCTTCTACTATAGTCCAGAATGCCGGGCGGCCCGCGGGGCGCTGCTGCCTGATGTCAAACCTGACTCTCTGCCCACCCCAGAAGGGGCTTCCTCAGGCTGCCGCCCCCAAAATGGGGGTCCGGGGCACTGAGGGGCGCCGTATTCCCCGATGACTGGCGGAGAGGTAGGGTCCTGACCTTTGTGGCCATGAAATGTGCAGACATTCACACCCCTTCCCATGCTCAGAAAGGCCAGGGGGTGCCCAGGCTGCACCAGGGAGCGGGAGAGGAAAGATGGGGGTGGGGGGCTCAGAGCGGACTCGCCCTTAAGGAGTCCAGAGACATCCAAGATTTCTTCAGGAGTCTGAGTTCTCCACGAGAAAGTGAGCAAGGTCCCAGCCCGAGTGGAGGAGAGGCCCCCGCCCTCAGAGAGGGGGCCCTACTCAGACGGGGAAGGGGGGCTCACCCACCCGGAAGGCGACGTCCAGAGAACCCCAGCCTCAGCTTTGGGTCTCCTGTGGACATGTGGCGCTGTCCGCACACTGGAAACCAGCAGAGCAGCCCGCATCAGGCCTCCCTGTCCTTGTCTAGAATGCTGGGGGTGGGGTGTCTCACTGGCCCCCTCTGCCCCACGCATCAGGTGGTGTGGGGAGAACCCAGAGACCTGGGTGAGCAGAGGTCGCAGCCCAGCCGGGTAGCCTGCCCGCCCCCTTCCTCTCCTTCGCGGAACCCAGGAACCCCCAAGATTGGTGCTCCTCCTCCCTCGTCCCCAGGCGCATGCCTCGGTGCAGCTTCCCCGCTTCGCGCAGGCCCTTCCCCTCCACCTCCCTCCTACCCTTGGGTGATTGGGGCTTCAAGAGCCTTGCTTCCTCCCCGCCCTCGCTCCTGCCCCGCACCCCTGCCTCTCACGAGAAGGCTGGAGAAAACACAATAAACGCTGGGGCCTCTTTGTGCCCTGGCCCCGGGCAGCCCATTGCCTCTCCGTCTATCTGGTGCTAACACGGGCTGAACTTCCTCCCTCCTCCTTGGGGACTTGACCCTGAGGTGGGGATACAGGAGAAGCGCGCGGCTGTCCGCAGCTCCGCGAGGACCTGACCTGCCAGCGTCCCCCTGGCGGTGGCGCAGGACGACCTCGCTGTTATCTGCCGCTCAGGCAGCACCCCCGCGGCCGAGCCGCCCCCGCCCTCATCTCTGGGGGGCCCCTCGCGGTTCCGGGGGCGGACAGAGCCGGGGAGGGGCCCTGATGCCCGGTGGGCGCTGGACGCCCCCAGCCGCAGCCCGGCGGGCAGGCGCGTCCGCTCGGAGCCTGCGTGTCCGCCCCCCGCGCCGGAACAGAGCTGCCCCCAGGCACGCGGCAGGAGCCCAGCGGAGTCCCTTTCCGGGCTCCGATGCCAAGGCCGGCGGGGCATTTGCGGGGAGGAGCAGCAGATAAGGGACTGAAGTCGCAGCAGAAGGGGCTGGCCGGGCTCCGGTTCTGTACCCGCCTCTCCGCGTCCGGCCTCGGGGAGAGTCTGCGGAGACCGTGTCTGGCGGAGCGTTTACAGCTCCCGTGCCCTGCCCTGCCGGGGTCAACATGGGCGGCAAGGGCCCCGGGTCCCCTGGACCCCTGCCCTGACCCTGCCGGTCACTGGTCGCTGAAGCAACAGTGACCCCCAATGGTTGCTGGTGGAACCACAGCGTAGCGAGCCGGGAGGGCGGGAGGTTGGGGGGGGGGGGGGGGGCTGGCCTCTGACGGCCTCCCGGGGACTAGGAGGGAGGGACGCTCCACACAGGAGCCCCCGGGGGAGACCCACAGCCTCCCACGGAGCACACAGGCCCCGACAGCAGCAGTGGGCTCAAGCCCTCTCCCCGCCACCCATACCCCTAACCTGCAGAGTCCTGAACACGGCCTGTCCACATGCTCGGGTCGTCTGGGTGAGGACGGACTGAAGAAAGGGTCGGAAAGGAAGAAAGGAGGGCTGAGTAGGTGGCGGCTCTCGATGAGCCTGCAGGAGCACGGTCAGAGGAAGCTCTCCAGGAGCCCGCGGGAGCACAGTCAGGAGCTTGAGAACAAGCCTTCAGCTACCCCCGATGACTGACAGAGTAGGGGTCTCAAAGGGGCTGCATGGCAGAGTTCCAAGGTCCCTGCTGTGGCTGTGGGACGGGGGTTCCGAGTGGGTGTGGTGAGGAGCGAGGGGAGCACCCCGCCCTAACTCAGGGGTATTTGCCCTTCTCCAAAGCCAGGACACTAGCCCCTGGCCCAGAATCGTGGGCAACAGTATTGTAGGAATCTTGGCCCCCAATATTGGGTATCAGATGTCCCCTCACTCGGTTCCTGGGAAGGCAGGACATCGGAACAGTTTGGCTTCCAGGACTGAGCAGGCCAGGAGCCACTCCCCGCTACCTGCATGGCTCCCACCGCAGCAGGGGAGAGAAGAGAGGGGGGCCCTGGGAAGAAGGAAGTGCTTCTTCACCAGCACCACAAAGATGGTGACTGAAATCCTAGGAGAAAGGGGGGGACCCGTTAGAGGGCACAGGATACTCCTTCCTGCCTCTCTCACCAGCAATGACCCCCTGCGGCTGTGGCTCTGAACCACAGACTCCTTCTCAGCTGTCAGGATGAGGAAGGATGGGAAAGGCTGGGTGCTGGGAGGGGGGGAGGGGAGACACACAGACCAGCAGGGGGATGGGAGCCCAGAACCTGTTTCTGCCCGCAGTTTCTGGACACTCACCCCCCGCCCCCACCGACGTCTTACCTCCCCCTTCACTTGTGAGCACAACAGGGATACTTTCCGCTTGGTCACTTCCAGATATGAAGGGGCAGAGGGTGAAGGGACCTCTTGGGTCCCCAGCCTTCCGGGGGGCGGGCAGTCAGGCTGGTCCTGCCGAGCTGCAGGAGGGGGAAGTAGGCAGAGGTGCAGGGAGATGAGGGGATCGAGGGTCCCCAGAAGACGAGGGAAGAAATCCTGAGATTAGGAAGAAGGACTCTCAAGAAAACGAGACCAGGCCCTTCCGCTCCGGCAGGCAGAGGAAAGAAAGAGTGTGCCCGACAGAGACGGGCAGCTGGAGCTCAGCGGTGCGGCCAGCAGCGCCCCTGACACAGGAGGAAAGAAGGTGGGCCGCGTGAAAGACCGGGGGCGCGGGAAGCAGGGGGACCCCTTGGAAGCAGCCTTATCTAAGGGAGAGTCCCCAGTGAAGGAAAGTCAAGGGCTGAAATCGTGTCATGAACACCGAGCGCTCCATGAGCGGGACAGCCCAGCACCAATGACCCTTGCGGCCGCACTGCGGTGTCACTTGAAAGCTGCAGCGGAAGCACATGGAAGGGTGGCCACAGTGAGTGCAGAGGGAAAAGCCCAGGTGACAAACGATACGGGTGCCCTGTCTTGCGTTTCCCTGGGCAAACTCAGAAAGATGCCTGGAAGTGTAGCTGGGATGGAAGTACAGCTGGGAGGCGGGGCTGCGGGGGGGGGACCCCGTTTGCTTCCCTCCATCTTCTCCGTGTGTTTGTTAAAGAACGTACATTATAGGGGCGCCTGGGGGCTCAGTGGGTTAAGCCTGTGCCTTCGGCTCAGGTCATGATCTCAGGGTCCTGGGATCGAGCCCCGCATCGGGCTCTCTGCTCAGCGGGGAGCCTGCTTCCCCCCTCTCTCTGCCTGCCTCTCTGCCTGCTTGTGATCTGTCAAATAAATAAATAAAATCTTTTTAAAAATTAAAAAATAAATAAATAAAAACAGTGATCTGAGCGGCCAGATCACCAGCTCGACATCACATAGCCAGTTCCTAGAGGTCCAGCTTCTTCAACCCCCACCTTGCCAGGGGCCGAGAGCAACCGTCTTCTCCATCCCTGGTCGCCATCTTTATCTCTCCGTTCCCCCTTCCCTGGCGTGGAGGCCTTCCAGTTCTCGCTGCGACCCGCCTTTCCACCATCCCGACCCTCCGAGCTCCTTTCAATCTGTCTGGACTCTCTTCCTTTCCTTCCAGCACGCCGCCGGTGGCCTGGGACTCCCCTGGGACTCGCCTCCACATGGGGCCCATCCCCCGCCCCCACATCTGGGCTGAGGCCCTTCTTCATGCCCTTTCTGGTCCTGCACCTGCTGCCCGCCAGCCGCGGCGCTGGGGTCAGGAGTGGCCTCGGGAAAACGGAAACCACGCTGGGTATTTCCACACACACGGGGCTGAAGATAAGGGGTTGACCTCAGTGGTACCGGGGGCCGGAAGCCAACAAGGAACACACCAAGTAACCCCGATCGCCGCAGGTAGATGCTCCCACCTGTAGGCTGTGAGAGCGAGCAGGCCAGAACTCAGAGCGGGGTCCAGCTCCCCGGGCGGCGGCTGGAGCTAGAGCACCGCGAAGAGGAAGCCAACAGGAAGAAACCTGGTCGTGCCCTGTCGGCCCCCCTCCCGCCCCGCGGCCCCAAACATCCCTCTGCAGAACGTAACAGAGACCCGCTAGCAGGGGCGTGTGTGACATGCGGTTTG